AGCGCCCTGTAAGTTTTTTACTATTCTTGTTTTATATATTCAAGTTACATTAAAACGGCGTATTTTCGATTCCAGAAATATTGGTTCAATATACTGTACAACTTTTTTTACACCCTGTACCTATAAATAATGAAGATGGCCTAATTTGGTTTAATATGTGATCATATGCACAGCAGTCTCTTACTCTGACAATTTAAAAATAGTAGTGCTGTGTGAATTGGGCTAGTTGGTGGGGCTGGAAGCTGGAACTGGGAGCTGGCTCCTTGAGCTATCTTCACACAAGTCAAGGATAATCGTTTCTTACGAATCTAAAATCGTTAAATTCAGTTCAGTAAAGTCAGAGTCATCAATAAGATAAAGATAAAAAAATTATCGATACCCGGTTTTCGCTGATTTGTTGGCAAGTTAGTCTACTCTTTTAATCTGTGGTGAAAACTAAATAATTCTATTTAATATTTTCGAGAAAAAAAAAAATCGCACCCTCTAGCATGAATATTACTTATTGTACTGTTTAGAATTTATGAGAATTACATTGGTAATAAAAATGTATTTTGGTTACATTGGTGGAGAAGAGCTGTTTTCGAAAAGACTAGCAAATCACGGTTTCCACTCCACCCTATAATTCTAGGTAAAGTTATACGAATTTTCCTGGAAATTTTAACTTGGTAAATTTTGTATAAAAGCAATTTACTTTATGGTGTTCACTTACATCATCCATCGGTCGACCTATGATTCTCTAAACAATTTAATTTTTTTTATTTACAACCATATATGTAATGTTGTCATTACTAACGTCATTGAAGGTTGGGAATTTTCACATTACACACCTCTACTTCCCGCCCTCACTTCTCGCCCTCATTTCATCTATTCTAGATGATTATTTTTTATATTAAAAAAAAAATAACACAGTGTTTGACAAATTTTATAATACCTATTTAATGGCAAACAATAAAAAACAACAATGATCTAAAATATAACAAACTACTTATTGATATTTATTATTCGCGAATTTAATATCCGGCTTTATCTGACAGTTATTTATATTGGTGACGGTTGTTTACCCCGTAATCATAGTAACAATATATTTACCTACTTGATTATTCTGAGAAAACCGTGCGCTTGATAATTTGTCGTTAAATGTAATATTTTAGGTATGTTCAGAACAAAACAGAGATTTATTAACTTTGATCGAAATATGATGATAAAATAGTATACAAATCTCGGTAAGAAGTTTCATTCCTGTCTCGAGATCATAGCTAACCTCGACGCTTCGCGTCTCGGTGATCTAACTAATCTCACGACAGGAATGAAACTCTTCCCACCTCGGTGTGTAATATACTATTTCGTGGCCACTTTAGTTTTTTTCCTGAAATTGTACCATTAACAATTCTTGAGACATGACCAAAAAGCCATTCTTATTAGGCCACTTGGTAAAAACATGTTCGGTTTTTGCTACAATTATCGTTTTTAAAATAATTTGGTAGGTATAATAATTGTTTAATTTACTTATTTTTAACAAACCTGACAATTTACAGTTACAAATCACAATTTTCTTTATTAAAAATAATTACAATATTACCAATCCTGTTAAATGAATTATCTCTAAATAACATCAAATTGCTTTTTAGTGAAATGGTTTAAATATTTTAGTTTTTACAGTCCAATGATTCAAATATATTCTGATTTTGAGATATGGAAACCATCAACTAAAAATTGACCCTGTCCCGCATCTAAAATGTGACAAAACAGATATTTTTATTTTATTCTAGCACAATTTCAATCTCAAAAACTTAAAGATAACAGTGTCCCACAACGTTTGCTAAATTCTTAATAGAAAAATAAACATTAACTTATTAGAAATTTATCGAAAATAAGTTTCTTTTGTACTTACTTTTGTGTCTTATTTTGACTTATACGCATGCGCATTCATTGCTTCCTATACGGTCTTATTTTAATAAATTCGAGAGACGCTAAAATGGTGGTTCCCACCTTATCGAGACTGAGGCCCACAAGGCCAAACTCGTAGCGTAACAAAAACGAGAAATGATTTAACTTGGAACGAAAGACCGAAAGTCGATAGTAGTATTAGGATGTTGAATTTTTTGGTTTGTAAAGCATTGGCATTAATTAGGTTAAACCATATGATGATTTCCATAAGCCTCGATTTTTAAAACCATTCTATATCGCCTTTTGATTAGGGTTTACAAACTTGTTTGAGCAACTTATATAATAATAATTGGCCCCTTTACCTCTTAAGCCTGCTCATGTAAAATATTTGGGCTCCTTACTTCGCCTGTTTATATAATATTAATAAAGGACAGAAGGATGAGTATAGCAAAATATGTTAAAAGAAATAAATTGGCTTTAAGTTCAGAATTATGTTCAGTACATGAATGATATTTATTTATAAAATAAAAATGACAGTACCATCGCATCAGATCTATTAGAAAAAATTCAATATAATTCGAAATATCACAACTAAAATACAAGAAGCCAATCTGACTTTCATGTATGGCAAGCCATCCCTAAAAGTTTCCAAAATACAATTGTTATTAAAGGTTTAAAAAATTTAATAGACTGCCTACAGAAATAAAAAAAAAAACAATAAATGTATTCAGAAGTAACCTCAAACAATACTTGATAAATAAACAGAACGGATATACTTTCTTGTGATAATACTCTTTTTAAGTATTTCCCTTAATTTATTGTTATTTTACCCCTCGTTTTACCCACATTTATTATAAATTATTTCTATTTGGAGATCATGTACTTTATTTTAAAAAATTACTTGACATAATAATACTACTTACTATGTTTAAATTATTAATAGTTTTGCGACGATAGGTTATAGCAACTTATAGTCACAAAACTATTTTTGTGTTAAAGTAGATCCATAGAGAGCAATGTAATTTACAAAGGCCTTCTTTCAACATACCAATAAATGACAACTTTATGATTAAAATAAAAAACACAACAAAATACCTCGGTACCAAGGTAAGAAGATTCATTTTTAAATTTTATTTATTGAGGAAATTTATGACTAGAAGTTTACTAATTATTATTTACAATTCGCCGGTTGAATATGTAATCCAAAATCGTATAATAAAAATTTTCTACAAAAAAACCAGCATTATTATCCTACCTTTGTATAAGAACATTATATTATCTATCTTGCTGTACCTTTATGGAAAGCCTGAATTGAGATATACTACAAATTATTTGCAATAAATATCAAAAGAAGTATACATTTTTAAATCATTTGACATTTAAAAGCCATTCACACCTCACAGTTGACATCTTGATACTTCACAGGCACAGCCAAGCATTATTCTGATTTTTGCCAATTAAAATGGCCGGTTAATTATTCTATGGGGATGCGACAGAGAGCCAATAAATTTGAAGAAGGTGTTTTTGTTGCTAGGGGCGAAATAGTAGTACGCTTAAGTTAGCACCACCATAAAAAAGTCATTTTTAAGAAATTGCTTATATATTTTTCATAAATTGGAGGCTTGGCTACTAATTTCGAATAATGGAATTTATGGAATTTTAAGAATGTTGGGAACGTTAACTTAAAAATAATTGAAATTCCAAAAATTGTAACATAAGAAATGCATATGCGGATTTTAAGAAAGTTGATTATAAAGTAGTTAGAAATAACCAAAAATTCTGAAAATTAATAGGGTTCTAAGTTAGAAGTAATTATTCAAGAAAATCAAAACCGCAAGTCAATCAGAACTTTCGTTCTAGAGTTATCGTGCCGGCATACATACAGATGACCAGACGAATTTTTTTGCATTTTCGGACTCAGAATGATCGGAAACATGAAAAAAAAAATTAAATGGGGGCAAGAAAATTTTTTCGTCTGCACGAATGCAATACTGAGGCACCATAGGAAGGGCCTCAGTAATTACTGGTTTCCCTTACTGTATTTAAATAAAGCAGAAGTGGCTTTTATTCTGCATGCTGTATTTTATTTGTTTTATAAGTTATAATAATTGCATAATTTGATTTTAAGTGACTGTCAATTTAAACATCATAATAAATTTTAAATATTAAGCCGCTTTCAATAGTTTCGTTCTAAAACATCCTTACAAGATCTTTTATTAAAAAAAACCTCTAACTCTTAGATAACTCTCTATTATTGTGGCTTTTGTATTTTACTTTAATTTAAATAAGATGAATTATCTTCCAACTTATATAATAATGGTTTTCTATAAAATAGCGATTAATCGCCTCTTAAAACTTTTGTTGTAAGTCCCTTCCGTCCCTCTGATTATGCGTAATACCTTACGCATAATTCAATAATATTTGAGCAAATGGGATAATAGAAAATAATCACAGGTTGTCGGAGTGTAGTAGCTCTTATCGAAAGAGGTCAAAACTAATGTGATAACTCCCGTAATCCACCCCAAGCTTGACATGTGGTGCTGAAATTTCCTATTAGGGTGTCCATTCTCTGGGGGCCACTACCCTGGATAGTGGATAAACCCGCACACTATATTTAGAATATTGAGTTTTGCGGAAGATATATAGGAAAAATGAGTGGTAACTAAATTAGCTTAAAGTTAAGGGACAAAGTTCCATGGTCTATCATTAGTCAATTTTTTAAATAGCTTATATCTACAATTTTCTATACTCTACTAACTGATTCCTGCGGTTGTTTTTGTTGTTTTAACTTCCCTTCTCCAAAATTTCACATCAAGTTACATTAGGAGAAAAATGAGAGATATGAAGAGGAAATTGAAGAAGAAAAAAAGATGAATAGGAAAATAAGATTTAATGTTTATAATGGAAATGAATGAAATTTTATTAAAATATAAAATAAATATAAAAATATTGTTACACATACGTAACAAATCATTGGAATACAAATTGTTGAATCGGGATCAGTCTAGGCTAGATATTAGTAATTGGTGTGAAAACGAGACTTGTTTTTAATTAATTTTTTCTTCACCAATAATTTATAACTTACAATAGAAATTAAAAAAAGTTTTACTTACATGGATGGGTAGGCGTAAAAGGGTATTCCAAAGTTGGTAGCCGTGGTTGAGGTGCTCCAGGATGCAGTGCGGGCGGGCAATGGTAGCAGAACATGCCCCTGCCACCGCCACCCGCAATCTGTAACAAAAATGCCTGATTAATAAAATGAGGAACTCGCATCAAATAAACCATTTTTACAATATAAAGCGTAAGAAAACTTGTGTGTTTTAATAGTTTTTTCCTACAAAATGTATGCTTCATACGGAATCAGCAAACAGAAGAAGCCATCTATTTTAGAGAACTTTTGCATAGTTTCCCCTAATGAATTAACAGTTTTTCGCGATTCAAATTAATTTTCGCGCGGCTGTCATTTGTCGCCTATAAGTAGGATGTTTGTTTATTTACACATGTTTGTTTTGGGCGGATTTTGTATTTGTGAATTTTGTGTTTAGATAATATTCTCATTGTAATAGTATTTTTGAGTTTCATTTAGTGTTAATTTAAGTTTAGTTTTCGTGCTTTCGTCATAAATATAATATTTATCATGTGTACGAGTATAACTAAATTTGTTGGAAATACTCACCTATTGGTTGCTACAAGAACATATAAAAATATGTATTTACTAAACCCAGGACATGTTTTATTATGTGGTTTAAAAGACATTTCAGGTACCAAATGTTTATTATTGATTAAATTATTTAAAAATCTTACTATCCTTATTCTTATATTATGAAGTGAATTATGTAGTACTTTGTATACATGTAAATAATAATAAAACCGTCACAAATCAGATTACAGTTTGATTCTAAAAAAAGTTTTGCAAAATTTCAATATTGTGAATTTGTAGATATCCATTTATCGTAAGAAACAAAATTTTACGATTTGTACTTGGAAAATAATGAATACTTCAGTTTTGATTTTGACATTAACACCATATAGATTCCAATTTGCTGGGGGCTTTTTTGCAAATTTCATTTTTAATATAAACACCATCACATATTAAACGAAATAAACAAATTTAAAGCTAAAAAGTAAGAAAAAATTCTAATTTTAATTGATACAAATTAAAATGTAAATAATGAACACCAACGCCAATATTGCCAAATGATGAACTGATTCTAAAACAAAATTAATAAATGAACTGAAATTTAAAAAAAATCAATATAATAAATCGGTTTTATAAAAAAAATCCATAAATAAATAAAGAGTATTATTACATATTACTAGACACAAATTTTGATTCTTAAATAAAAGGTCTTATCCACTTCTTCAAGAGCTAAAATTCGACGACGTAGCGAAATTTTGCTACTTCTGGGAACACTGAACGATATCCTACTTATAGGGACCTACTACAAATTTCCTGCAGAGGGCGTATCACTTAGTTTGAATCGCGAATATTTTCGTTAATGTAATTCTAAAATTGGTGAAGACAAATACATCGATGACTATTGATGTATTTCAATAAATTAGTCAGAAAAGTGTCGAATTTATTCCAACCTATACGCCCTCACTGTATGTAAGAAATTTTTTAATAAATATATTTTAAAAAAATATTTAAATTATTGGTTTTACCTATTTATTATTTAATTTAGTAATTTTATAATATTTTTATCTTTAAAAAGGAAAAAAGACCTTCGAGTGGTAAATATCAGTTTTACACAATTAGTAAAATACAATATTTTCCGACAACTACAAAATTATTTCATGTGAAACTAGAAAATCTGGTTATGGGATTTAAATGAAGGTTTGGCTGGTTCTAGGTTTGTTTTTATATGTCTTATTGGTTTTCAATAATTTTTAAATTGTTTTGCGGATGGTGTTTTGTCGTAATTAAGAACATTATGATTCCATGCATAAATACATTCATAGGATGGTAAAGATAAAATATTATTAGGTACAAAAAATATTAGTTTATTTATTTTTATTTAATACAAGAAATAATAAGATAATCAACTGCGATCAAAAAGTGCTTTCTGTTATTAAAGATGATACCTGTTGAATCCTAATCATTTCAAATTTTTATTTGTCATTTCGAGGGGTAATTTATTAAACAATTCATCAAGTCACGTGTAATTTGAGTTGCCTATTAGTAGATTCAAATATTTTTACGCGTATTTTGAGACCCAGTAACGATTGTAAAGTCGTACCATGAAAAGACCTTTGAAAAGGTCAGTGCGAAATAAACAGTATCGAGAACCGGTAAAACTAAATTTTTGGTGCAAAACGTTATTATCTGTAAAATTAGAATAAAAAGCCTGTGGTAGGAAAAAGCCTGGATCATCCCTTGGATACCAGAATTAAGGAAAGCTCTCACGTTACCCCTAGATGTAGTTTGGATAAGTGATTTGGTCTCAATCGTTTTTTCTTAACAGTTTTATTTTTTTTTATTCATTTTTTAACTATTACTTAATAGAACAATTTTGAAAGACATACAGTCTATTTTTCTCTGCCTACTGATTAGGCTATCAACTGTTCCTACTTGCGGTAACGTACAATACCTACTTACAATTTTTTTCTCAACCGTTATGAAAATAGTACAGGGTGTGCAAATTTCGATGTTTTAATAGATAATCTCGTTAACTATAAATGGTATGGAAAAATGGACCTCCCATCGTCGATCTCTTTTTTTGAGAAAAACTTAATGGCATTTTCAAAAATTGGCTATTGCCTTTTGTTTTCGAGTTATAAACAAAAGTTGGTTTTTTCAAATTTTCGTTATCTCGCTTATTTTTGAAAATGGAAGAAAATAATGTATATCTTCTTCAGGAACTTTTTTGTTAAGAATCCAGTGGCGTAGTCAATTTTTTTTTTAAATTCTTCAAATTCGAGTTATAGCATAAAGTTGTATTTTTTTATATGGAACGGGTAGTTGCCTGTAGCATACAAAAAAGACAAAAATTTTCCCATTTCAACGATATATATATATAATGTGGGGTCAGTTCATTTTCTTTGTTATTTAGCAAAAACTCATTATTTTCAAAATAATTTATAATACTCTGTTTTCTAGTAGGCTTGTGTCATTCAGAATATTTCTAACAGAAGTATCGGCATTTTTACAACACTGATCATTTAAAAACGTTTGATTGTTTATATCATCTTAAAAGTGCAAAATTGCCTCTGAAAATGAAAAGTTTGACATGTTAGAGTATCTTATTCAAAGTAATAATAATTCTGAAGTTGCAAGTGAATTATATTATAATCGTTACCCGCAAAGAAGACAACCTAATAATTATATTTTAAAGCTATTAAAAGAAAATCTCATAAATTATGGGATTTTTAAGAAACCAAGGATACAGAATTATAACATTGAAGATGCTGAGGAAGTTGCCGCCAATGGTATTGGAATGGTAACTGCAAAACCTTCGATATCAAGTCGTCAAATAAAAGTCGAGTCTGGAATATCACAAAAATGAGCATTATCAGTTTTAAAATATTACTAAAATAAGGAAACAGCAACATCTCCAACCAACCAATTCCGAACGAAGTCTAAATTTTTGCAATTGGTGCCTTGAAATCATAGACCGGAATCCATTATTATTTACAAAAATTATATAAACAGATGAATTTTACACAAGCAGTACCGGAATTTTCGAAATAACGAACATTGGTGGTCCGACGTTAACTCCCACCGTAACTTTGATGTCCAAAATCAGTGACATTTCGGTTTTAGTGTTTGGTGTGCCCTATTGGACAATGGCATTTTAGTATACCAAATTTATGTTGGAAACCTAAATGGCCAACGATATTTATAAATTTTAAACGAACACATTCGATGGCTTTTTGGACGGCTTAACGCTGAATGAGAGACGAGATATATTTTTCCAACACGATGGGCACCCCCTCACAATACTAGAAACGACTCTGAATTGTTAAAAATCTTCATTTTAGAGACAAATGGGTAGGGACAAGAGGACCAGTAAGGTGGCCACCACGTTCACCAAATTAAACGCTAATAGTCCTATTTTTTTAATTTTTTCATATTTTTGCCAAAATAAACATTAGCTTTGTCTACATCAGCATGTTCATCGAACGATTCACCACTGCAGGGACTGAAGTAAAGAATTTGCATGTTCTACAAGGTAAGAATTAACGAAAAAAATGATAATTTTGCCATGGGCAAATAACATACCTAACTCACTGGATCCCATTCCATTTCGACGAGATAGTTTTAAAGAAGGTAGTAAATTCCTTCCAGAAGCCTAACATTTATGTTTAAAAAAAAATCTTCCAGATATAGAAAAAGGGCGTTTTCCGAATAATTACCAAATATTTATTTGTAAAATGTCAGCGATATCTGCGATTTATATTAAATAGGGATTTAGCTACTACAAAAATAATAAATATTTATTAGTTGTTTTCCAATATGGTGAAAATATCTCTTTCAATATCAATTATTTAATTACGTTCTCGTGTTTTTTATTGTTTTATATATTTTTTGTATTGACATTTAATATAACAATTCCTAAGCCGTTCCCATTTTTCTCAAGTAACAATAATTTGTCAAACGCAGAGAATCCGAAAAACTGATATACGCAATACATCCATTCCATAGAATAAAGTTCGGTTGATCCCCATACATATACGGAGCAATTTAAAATTAGCCATAACCTACGCTGACGGTCGTCACATCGGTTAAATTAACAGCAAATTAATTCTGATTAAGTTAATTTAGTTAAGTTGATACGTGACATCACGATGCCAGGCCAGTCGAGTCGACATGCTTTTACTCTGGCTCTTAAATTACTCAACAGATCTATCGGGTGGTCCGAGCACATTCCGCACAAAAATTAGCGCATCCATATTTTTTCATTTTTTTTACAATTTCTTATAGTGTCTTACAAATCAAAAAGGATTTGTATGAAACAAAAATAAAACTCAAGAACGGACCAAACAAATTTATTCGAATTATAAATTTAACAAAAAGTAATTTTAAGGTTTTTTATAATGTGTGATTATAATTAAATATATTACGAGTATAATTAACAATTATTATTGTACGAATATTTAAGTTCGAATTCCTTGGGTCCAAATATGAAAAAACATTCTATAACGAATTCGTTCGATAATGCATCATTTCCAAGATGCAGGATATTAAAGTTTCCTTAAAATTTATTTTTATTTCTATATCTAAAAAACGATGCATGTAGCAAATTTCAATTACATTTTCACAATTTGTTTATAATTTAATAAGGTATGTTTTCAACTTATTACAAGTTAATTCAGTAATTGTAACAGCGTGCCCTCAGAACAAGTCGGTAAGTTTTTGCACAAAAAAATAGCACTGAGTAGTTTTTGATTTTTAGAATATTTTTAATATAGTGAAAAATCAGGTTAAAGTTCAATTGAGGGTGGGTTGGTCGGTGGCAGGATTTTTATTTAATTTAATGCATAGGTAGGATTCCCCACTCGACTACTTACTCTTCAGTTCTAAATAAAGGCGGAGTTACACGGTGCCAGTAACTTGCACAAGTCACTAAAATCCATTACTGGATTTTAGTACTTACTGGTGTAGACATATTTTAGTACTAAAATTTAGGACTGGTTTTAGTGATGATTCCAGTCCAGTGAATAGAAAGCATTTCTATTTACTGGTGCAAGTAGCTATCCTACTCCCACTAAAATTCAAAAAAAAAACCTGTGTGAACACGCTTTTTAGTTGTGATTCCAGCGTTTGGTTTTAGTTTTTGTTTTCAGTAGCAGTTAAATTTTGATACAGTGTGGTCGTGTGAATATTATTTTTTGAAATGTCTTTAAAATGGACGGAGGACACTACAGTGAAATTTGTGAAATTATATAGGGATGAGGAATGTCTGTGGAATTTACAGCTTCTTATCTATAGAAATAAACAGGCACGTGAGGCAGCTATAAAAAAAATAGTGGACGCAATGGGTATAGAAGATTTTGGCCCAACAGAGGTGAAAAATAAAATAAAAAACTTGAGGTCGACTTATGTACAAGAAGTCGTAAAAATTAAAAAATCAGAAAGTTCTGGAGCGGGAGCAGATGAAATATATAGACCCAAAATTAAGTGGTGTATAGTGATGTATACGATTTTACAGAAAATGGATAAGAAAAGAGAAACAATCAGTAATTTGGTAAGTACATACCTAGATAATAATACTAAAAATCTCTATTTTATATTATACATATCTTGTATACAAAATGTAATTTACTCAAAAAATCATTCGTTCTTGCCATGAAACCGCCCCTTTAGTTATAAAATAATTTTTGTATTTTTCCCTTAAATTTCTGGCAAATTGTGATGTATGATTGCTTCCTACTCGTGAAATTTATGGCAAGCCCTCTAATTCTGTTCTCCAACTATTCTTTCTCAGTCAAGATCTTCTTCATCAATGGATCCCTTTGATAGATAGTTATTTACATAAATGCTTCTAAGCCAATTATACAGGGCACAACACGTTCTAACTATTTTATCAACTGATGATACTCCACAAGATATGGGTTTCCGGAATACTTGAAATCTGGAGACTAAAATGTCAAAACAATTTTCCACAATTCTTCTTCTTCTTCTTCTTCTTCTTCTTCTTCTTCTTCTTCTTCTTCTTCTTCTTCTTCTTCTTCTTCTTGCACGGGATAGTCTATAGTTAAATATTTTTTCTTCAATTGTAAGTGCATTTTTCGAATATGGTTTGAGTAAATAATGCTTTAAAGGAAAAGCGTCACCTCCGATAAATAAAGCCGCCATCAGGCAAAATATTATTTTCAGCAGCAGCAAACATAGAGCACTGCCTAAAAATACCTCCATCCGATGACCGTCTATTGCAACCTACGTCAATGAACGTAAAATTATAAATTCCGTCTGCAATTGCCATCAAGATGATACTATTCTGTCCTTTATAGTAAAATAGTCGCTGCCCTGATATTTATGTGCTTTCCGTCAATGGCACCATAACATCCTGAAAAATTCCATCTCAGAAATCAATTTTAATGGCTTTCCATTCTTCGCCGGTTTGGGTAACCTAAAATAAAATAGAACGCTAACATATTTTATTCAAAAATTATACCATATATGTTAAGATATTTTTAATCCAATTTTTTTACAGGGTTACCAATTATTAACTGATATCGATAACGATTCGCAGACATCACAGGATGAAACTGAACGGACGCTGCATGAAGTACCAGCAGAAGAAAGCGAAAAAGAAAAATTCAATATTGCCAACGAGCCCACACCAAAACGTCAGAAGATTGGAAAAACAAATGTCAAAGAAATTGCTGCTTGGGTTAAAGACCTAACTTCTTTGACTATATCTATTCAAGATATGGAACCATCGGAAAATGAATTTGACATTTTTGGGAAGAGTGTAGCAGCGCAGTTGAAAAAGTTGCCCCGTGCAAAGGCCATTACAGCTCAAGATCAAATACAGCAACTTTTGAGTCGGTTTAGACTGGAAAATACATCAAGCACAATTTTTTTTGCTTTAACAGACGGCAATACATGTACATGACATGTACGCTTTCTACAACACACAAGAATCTCCACAATCATATCTATCCATAGCTTTGGAAAATGACAGCAGAAACTCAATAAGTATTCTTTTGGAAGCTTATGCTACTACTTTTGACGATAATTGAAAGTAAAACTTGTTTTTTCAAAATGTTAAAAATAATATATATTTACCTGTATAAACTCTTTCAACGCATCGGCAAGAACGAATGATTTTTTGAGTAAATAACATTTTGTATATAAGATATGTATAATATAAAATAAAGATTTCTAGTATTGTTTCTCTTTTCTTATCCATTTTCTGTAAAATCATATACATCACTGAAAACCACTTCATTTTCAGTCTAGATATTTCATCTGCTCCCGCAATACCTCTGTAATGAACTTTGAAATTGCAGGTCGAGAAATCCGGAAATGCTTTTGCAGATTTCGATAACTATTACCAGTGGCTAAATATGACAACGTTAATTCTAATTTTATCCTAGCAGGTATAGCCATTCTCATTGTGGTGTCAGTTCGCTGTATAGCTGCCGATATTTTTTTAAGTCAAAGAAAGCAGAAGACATTCTCATACAATTCTTGAATGTATTCAATTGCGAGCTCTTTCAAAAGAATGTTAGAGGCACCATGGGTGCTTCTACGTGCCAACTATTTCCTTACCCAAATTCTTTTTGTGGAAATAATAATGAACTAATTTATATAACTTGAACAAGTTACTAGAACCATGTAAATGCAAGATTCCTTCAACGCAATTGCTTTTAGTACTGGATTTTAGTGACTTGTGCAAGTTACTGGCACCGTGTAACTCCGCCTTTACAGTGCTGTTCCTTGAGTGATACTGGGAAACATAGCCTACACAAAACACGAGGCTTAGCAGTTGGTGCCGATGACAAAAAAATATTCAATTTGTTTTTACTTTGGAGGTTGAAAAAATAGTTTTTATTTCGTTGGTTTAATTTTGAAAAAACTAATTTATTTGGGGACTGTCAAGTACACCAACAAAGTACATTTTTTTCCACCTACTTGTAAATATGTACTTACCTGATTATAATATAAATGAGTGTAGGGAAACTACTGGAAATTTCTTTAAAAAGTTTGTCAAAGGACCAGCTACTTTTTATACAATTCTATTCTATCTATCTGAATTTTAAAGATAATACCTACTTACAATTTTTTCTGAACCGTTATCAAAATAGTATAAAAGAAATAGCGAAAAGATTAATGGATTTCCCAACCGTGATGGTTATATTATGATAAATAAAATATATTTAAAATAAATAAAGAGCAATACTCGTATTTTTCATTTTTCGTATTTTTCCAAAATAAAAAAAAACTTTTGTCGGGAATTGAACCTGGGTCGCCAAATCCAAAGCTAAGCGTTTAACAACCTAAACCATAGAGGCAAGCAAGTTAATTAACTCATCAAATATATAACATTAGCATTTTCTACGTTTTATTTAAGGCATCATCATCGATCGCCCCACCGCAGGTGCGTCTACAGCAAAATATTTTCATCTTCTACAAGAAAAGAATGACCAAAAAATTTGTAAATTTGCCTTACGAAAATGTATACCAAAAAAATGTCACTGCTCCCCTACCAAAATTTTAAAACTGGAAATTATATTTTTTAATTCTACTTTAACATTTTTACGTATATTTTCTCAACAACGATCAGAAAAAAGTCATTAGATTATTAGAACTATTAAGTTATATACTGCGCAGAATCCTGGTGTCAATGATTGGTTTCTGATCGTTGTTGCAAGAAACCTTTAATTGTGTGGATGCGGCTGTCAATCTCCTAACAAATGCGATTTTGCCAGACGGACAAAAAAAATTACAAGGGTTTACCTATCGTAACAATTTAAACTTTGACATAAAGCGACAGGATGCGTAGCAAATCGCGATGGATCCAAGCAGTACAGGTTAGGTGTTTTAGTTAAAATAAAAAATAAAAAATGTATAAATGTACAATTATTTTCAGCCACTATTATCAACATCTCCTGGCCGAACAGGTCAGGAATTTAATTCTTTTTCCGTTTTTTATATTTATATTTTTTGAGTTATTATCGATGACCACAGGCCGTATAAGTTAGTTAATTTAATTTTATTTTTGTTTTATTGTAAATTTTATTAAAATATTTATATATTGTATCTTGTTCTTGACTGATACTATTGATTGACAACTGTATGAAAATTAAAAAATTTCAGTTTAGAAACATCCAAAATATTTTTGTTAAGTTTTTCTCTGAACTCTGAAGTGAGTATTATGAAAAAATCTTCGATTTTTAAGAGTCGTCTTCCAATTATTTACTTAAGATTTTTTACAAAAATCACTAATAGCAATTTCGCCGGCCGGATGGAAATACAAGAGTAAGTGGATGAAAGCAGCCACAGTAGCGGGCCGAAGCCTCGAGCCAATAGAAAAGCTCTCTTGCTCTTGCTTCTGGATGGAGCCTTTACCTACCGGTATTTCTATTTAACTTATACTCGAGAACTCCCTTTAATCTACAGGGGTATCCCGAAAAGGCATTGATTTATTTCGTGGGCGTTATTGGATTATGAAATATTGCAATTTTATTTTCAACAATGAACCTAAGTAAATTGTAACAATTTAATTAATATTAACTAGTCACCTATTCATTAACGGTAATGCTCGTCATTTTATGTTTATATATACAGTGCGGTCCATAATTAACGGATACATTTATTTTCTACGTAATTTACAGTTTATGAGTAAAATACTGAAACTGTAGGGTTTAAGGTTGTTTGTTAGCACGTAAGGTTTGGCATGTGAGATGACATTGGAAATGATAATAAAAGTCACGATTTAATTGTCAGAGTTTTTAAACATTTATTCGCTTCTAAAAGGCTCATAAGTTTACTATAAAACATATCAATTTTTAATTAAAAAATGACATTATTAAGCATAATTTTATACCTGTCCATTCTACCCCCTTGGAGTGATAGCAAGCCCTTTAAAATTTTTAAATAGAATGAGGTTGCGTTTGATAGCTCGTTTGGAAGGGATTTTTAAATTTTTTATCCACCAATATAAGGTTTTTTGAATATTGTATATTCTCCATCAAGAAAATTAAATTTGAAAATTTGTAATGTATTTGAAATGTATGCGATCAAATGTATTCTAAACTATGGCTATGTGCCTAAGATCTGTCAACGCTTATTTTTTAAATTGATTTTGTTCTATAACTATTTAAATAAAATGTATCTTTTTATGATATATGCAGGTGGAAAAATATCAATACAAAAATAAAAAAGCGTTTTTTTACATATTAGGAAAAAAATATTTCTTATAACATCACTAGTGCATCAATTATTTCCGGAAATTTTGTCGAAGAAGACTGATAACTTTCTTAAAATAATCGTAAGTGGGCAAAAATTTTCAGATAATAATTAAGACGTGAGGTATTTGGTAAAAAACTTTACAACGAAGTATCAAAATTTAAAAACTTGCCAGACAAATAAAATGACCAAAATGAAATATGCAAAAATGACCATGTCATGTTATGCGTTTTTGTCATATTTAAAGTCTATTAATATTTTACTTATAATAATTGTCTAGTGTATTTATATCTAGTTATAATTTTAATGGTATTAAATGAAATAATAACAATTAAAATGGCAAATTTTTTAATCACACCGCATTGTGTCGTAATCTCATGTAAATGTAAAAGCTTCTCAAATGTCAAAATTTTTAGTGTAATTTCGTTCAGAGTACGCACTAAGAAAAAAAATTCCGGAAATTTTTCAGGTTGTCATGAAAACGTTTTAAGACAAGAGCATTTGATTTACTAAAAATAGATGTGTAAAATTTGTATTTAAATTTCTTTATTGATTACGTATGTGCAAAGAATTGAAATTTTGATATTATTGGGGTAATAAAATAAGAACGGAGGGGCAGAAATATCCATTAAATTCCCTGATCGTCGTGTTTCTCAGTCTACGATTAGTAGGGTAAATAACAAATTTCGGGAATTTCCTAAATCTGGTAAGAAACGTAAGAAATTTGATAGATTATTAGAGATTCAAGATAATCCACCTAAACCTACTAGAGCAATTGCCGCCGATAATGATGATAGTAAAACCACTATATTACGTCTTCTAAAAAAATAAAAATACAACCCACATAAAATTATTTTGGTTCAAAAACGTAACGATGATGACCCTGATTGCCGATAGAAATTTTGCCAAATCATGAGAAATGCATGCCAAGATGATTCCACTATTTATAAAAAAACAATTAACAAACAGAATTACAGATGCTATAGTATAGAAAATCCGCATTGAATATCCGCATTGAATAGGGCCCAATACCATGGGGACCGGCGCCCTCTGAAGGAAATTTGTAGAAGGTGCCTATAAGTAGGTTTTTGTTCATTGTTGCCAAGAGGAGTGAAATTTCGATACATCGTCGGATTTTTAGCCATTGAAGAAGTACATAAGACTCTATATTTATTTAAGCATTTTTTTGTAAAACCGATTTATTATATTTGTTTTTTTTTTTTAATTTCAGTACATTTATTAATTTTGTTTTAAAATCAGTTCATCATTTGGCAAGATTGGCGTTGATGTTCACTGTTTATGTTGTAATTTGTATCAATTTTAATTCAAAGTTTTACTTACTTGTGAGCTTTCAATTTATTTATTTCTTATAGTGTGTGATATTATTTACATTAAAAATCAAATTTGCGAAAAAACCCTCATCAAAGTGCAATTTATATGGTGTATGTAAAAATAAAAACTGAAATGTTTATTATTTTCCAAACGTAAGTCGTAAACTTTTGTTTCTTACGATAAATGGATATCTACAAATTCACATTATTGAGATTTTGCAAAATTTTGTCTAGAATCAAACTGCAATATCTGCATTGTGAGTTTTACTACTGTTTACATGTATACAAAGTAATACACCATTATACACTTTATAATATAGGAATAAGGATAGTAAGATTTTTAATTAAGTTTATCAATGATAAATGTTAG